GTGATCTGCGAGGTCAAAACTATTTTCATAACATGAACTTATCTGCCTTTGCCACTCCTGTTCTCTCCTGAGCATACAGAGGCATTTTTAAGAGTCTGGATGACATCTGATGACACCATCATTCCAACAGCTAACAGAATGGAAATTGTTTCAAATTTTTCTCGGTCTTAATTCTAACGGGGTAAATATCAATAGACAGAAACCACACAAAAGCCCTCTGGCATCCTCGAAAATATTTAAGAGTATATAGGGCCAAAAATCTTGAGAATTATTGCTATAACACAACATTTTAGTTAGTTGCTTTTGGAAAGGAACTTTTAATATGTGAAACTAATTAGAATGAGTTTAAGTTTATATCCTCAGAGGGAAAGGAAATAAGAAATGTTTTACTATCTTAAACTGTTGATCCCTTAGGAGGAAGATTTTTCCACATAGATCCCCAAATTATCTTTCCCCTACAAATAAGTACCAGGATAGAAGTCTCACTGCCTGGAAGGGAGCATGCACACCACTACAGTAGTGAGCCCCTAACACGAGCTGTTCCTACAAGTAAATGATCTCAAAGCCTTTCCCAGTGGCTATGCAAACCAGCCAGCACCATGAGGCCCCAGCTCCCCAGAGTTTTACAGAGGAATGTGGAGAACCAACCGTGACATCTCAACATCGCTAAGGGATCTCAGAGCTTCAGAGAATGGGAAACAAGCTCCTTTTTACAAAATCACCCTGATGCTGGAAGGGAAGGAGAGGTGTGAGGCACTGCTTATGCTGGTGTCACATCCTCTCGGGCCACCTTTTCAGTGTGTGCAGCTGCTTGTCATAGCAAGTGTGGCCAGACGTCCACGCCTCACTGCACTGGGATCTCTCTCTCCTCAGCAGCTGCTGGTCTCGGGAAAGCTTCTCAGGAAGCCCCTCCGGCACAAATACAAACCTGGAAGAGTGAGGGCGTTTCATCCCTGGAGCACCCGACCAGCAGACCACGGGAGCTAGTGGATAAATACTCCCCTCTCCATGTCCCAGGTGGAGGATACTGAGGCACATTCAACAGTTCCCCAGGGGTCCCTGGCCGGACTGAGCACCAGTGATCCATCATGGCAGCCGGCTCAGTAACTCACTCTTGGATTGGCTTTCCTTCCTCCCCTTTGTCAGTATTCCCTTGGATGTTCTTCCTCTTACGTTCCCTGGGATACCTTTCCAAAATAAACTGCCCGTGCTAAGCCCTTGTCTCAGTCCTTCAGTTGACCCCAGCTAAGATAAGGCATAAGATAAGCTCTCCACCTCCAGCCAGGTGGGGAAGGGGCACAGTTAGCACGAGAGTGGCCCAGCTCCTCCCCGATCCTAAAGCTTGGTAGAAGGCTTCACATCTAGCAGATGTTTTAAAACAACCAGTTAAGTGAAAAGAGAATGAAATGATGGCCAGCTATGGAAGAGACACTACAACTAATTGCTGTGTTATATGACATAGACTCTAATGTGGGTTTCAGAGGAAATGAAGTCTCAAGCAGAAGATGATCAAGACAGGAGGGTGGTTCTGGAAAAGGAAATGAGTCTTAGCCACTGGAGACCCAGAGACTGACCTCCCCAAAGCTGGCAGCCTAGAAGGTGAGGGGAAGCGGGACAGAGTACATTCAGATGAACGAGGGGTTCAGCAACCTAGGGGATGAGTAGATTTTACACGGTGGTCCATGAAGGCTTGTGAGAAAAAGTGTGGACCGATGTCTCCACTTAACCACACCAAACTTTCTACATAATCCCGGAGAATCAAACACTTGGGTTTACAACCCCATGCCTGACTCTCTTTATCTCTTTCTTTTCTTCCCAGAGTGATTATGAATTGTCCGGGCATACTTTACACATTAATTTATTTAATCAACAGAACAACCCCATGAGGTAGGTTTTATTATTGCCCCCATTTTACAGATGGGAGAACCTGGAACACAGAGAAGTTACACAGCTGGGAGACAGAGCTGCGGTTAAACCCTGCCAGTCTGGCTCTCTCTCACACTTTGTCCCCCACAGTCAATAAAGTCACCACATCCCACGTGATAATTCCACATGATTCCTTTCGCAGTGTTTCCCATATGTTGAATCCTTAGCATTTTCAGAACCTGTAAGGGCAGGTAACTCATACATTTCCTAGGTTTTGGCTGGGTTCCTGGTATATATATATATATACATATCAGATGCTGGGCCAGCTGCGGGGGATAAAGATGCAAAGACCTCACTCTCCAGGAAGGTCCCATTACACACCTTGCAAGATGAGCCATGTCATGGAGAGCTGAACCTACAGGTCAAGGTGAGAAGTTGAGCCTGGGCTGAAATTGGGATGAATTGGTAGGTGAAAAGCACAAATTCTCACTCATCTCAGAAGCAGTATCACTGAGCATCTGCCCTGTGCTAAGCCCTAGAAGGTAGGAAGGAAGGAGAGGGACACCGAAATGAGTTTACCATACAGTCCCACTCAATCCTCATACCCACACAGGTAAGGCACAGCAAAGCTGTTCACACCAGACCTTAGATATGGTAGATCTGTAATAAGAAATGATCATTTCCGTCTCCTTCTAACACCACTTTAAGTCACATAACTTATAGTAGTTTTCCATAACTGACCATATTAAATCAAGTTCCTATCATAGGTATCCAAGGCCCTCATCTTCTACTCTCCACTTGGTTCAGACCTCACTACTCGTTAAATCAATCTTTTTCTTCCCAGTACATTACAATCAAATAAGAAGAAAATAGTCACACTTGATGTGTTTGCCCATGTGATTTACTTTGCTGAATATTGGTCGTCTTTATTTCTATCTGTATTTATCCATGGCCATTTTCAAAAGTATCCGATGATTTTTTTTCCACTCACATGGCTTTGGTCTTTCCTCTACCACAGTCCCATGGCACTTGTAGATTTAAGTCTCTGGGGTGTTTGGCACCAGTGGATTTTACTCTCTATGGTTCTTACAGCCATGCAAGTATGAGTTGGCACATAGTAGGTGCTCAAGAACCCTTATCTGATTCATGATGAAGTGCTAAGTAAGTACCATAGGGAAATATCGCCCATGATCTTACACTGTGCTTTAATATAACTTGTTATAAAACCTTCTTTCTCTTCCTCCTCATAGATAATGAAATATACTGATTCATCAGCCTTGTATATAAGCCCAGTCTCCCCAAGGAACTACTGTGATATGAATGAAATCATCATTTTACACTGGACATGATGCTTCTAGAAGAATGTTTGGCACACCATTAACTCCCAGCAACTATTTGTGGAAGTGAATTAAAATAATCAACTTTATTTCACACCTGCCACATACTATATAATGTGGTAAAGATTTGCAATAACAAAGTTTGTAAGATGAATTTGAAGAGCAACCCCGATCAAACATAGAAAAAGTAGTTTTACCCACTCTACACACTGTACCATCCTAAAAGACTAGGCCACTTTCTTTTTCCTGGACTTCACAATCTGTCAATTGCTTAAGTTAGTTAAGACCATCATTCCTCTCCATCCTTAGGAGCTCCTAGTGGGAACCTGCCCATCACTGGACACAAAATTTGAAAATGGCATTTTCAAATACTTTGTGGAGAATACGATTTAATGACTCTACTGACAGTCACTTTAAGTAGTGTGATCACAATTGCTAAGTATTTAAATACAACCATCTCATTCCACTTAGACCTTTCTGAAAGAAAATAATTAAGTAATCAAAAAAGTGAAATTTTTATCCCCCAAATGATCCAGAATTAACATGAAAGAAAAACTGAATATCGTAGAGAGGATACAAATTCTGGGACTCCAATGTATAACAAACAAAAAATGCTTTGATATCAGCCAGTATCAATCCAACAGATAATAAAGGATACTTTGGAAAATTTGCTTCTCATTTGGGGTTGTTGTTTTTTTTTCCCTCCAACAATACTCTACAGAATGTGAGTAAAATCTGTTAGACTATTGTTTGAAACCTGCCTCGGTCCCTCTAATCCATGCACCTCCCAGTTGCATTGAGATCTGCCGGGTGACACATGAGATCTAAAGTGGGTGGATAAAAATAACCTGGTCCTCAAAAAGACATGATAAACGCCAGACAGCTGAGTCACTTTGAAGCCCATCTGACTCTGGAAAGGGACATTCACCCTCCTTTTCCTTGTTGCACATATACATGCCACCTGATGAAAAACACCACCAACCTCCCTGGGTGGAAGGCGGTGATCTGTCGTAACTCCCCACCCCCCTCCAGTCTCAGGTCACGACCCGCGGCTAAACTTTTAATAATTTATACTAATGCATTTCAGCCCAGGCGATTCATGTAGAGGAGTAAGGGGAATGACTAAAAGAAACCATAAAATCCAGGAGACCCTCTATTTCTGCTGCCCAACCGGAGGGACCCGAAGATTTCTTCTGACATTCTAACGGGAAGAAAAGGTGCGGGGAGCAATAGAAAGTGGAGGAAGAAAAGCTCGGCGAGGAAATCCGAATCGTCCGGGAGTGGGACTCCCTAGGCAAAGCAAACGGTCCCAGAAAGAGAAGGGCCGTGTGAGTCCGGGGAGCGGGGGTGGGGGGGGTCGATGCGGTCCACCCAGCCGCCCTCCGTTCTCGCCCCCAGAGAGGACGCAAACCATCCGCAACGTGCAGTTAAGATCAGGGAACTCTTCGATTGGATCTATCTTTCAAACGGTGGCGGGGCTGGGGCCAGGCAGCTGGGAACTGGGGCCCTGTCAGCCTAGGAAGGCTGGCGGAGCAAACCCCGCGGCGACCCCGTCTTCAGCTGCAGCAGCCTCGGGGCCAGCAGCGCCCCGCACGCAGTAGGCGCTCACTCGGTGTCTGCCGAACTGCAGTGCCCCTGAGCGCACTCCGCCGCCGCGGGAGGAGGTCCCCGGCTGCTACTGCGCATCTTCTCCCCCAGCTTCACGTGCCGCCCAGTTCCGCGGCTCGCGGCCGCCACAGGCCGCTGGCACCGCGACCCTCCCCCGGGGCGCCGCGTACGCCGCCGAGCCTCACTTACGGGGGAGTCGTACGAGAAGGCGCACTCGTTCTTGTACACCCTGTCCCCCGACCTGGGCACGCGGATCGTGGGCATGTGAGGCACCAGCAGCTCGCCAATGTCTCCTGCAGCCATCTTCCTGCTGCCGCTGCCGCCCGGCATGCCGAACAGGGCGCCCCGGCGCTGCATGGTCGCGGCGTGCACCCGAGCGGAGCCGAGCCGGGTCGGGCCGGAGCGCTGGGTCTGCCCGCGGCGGCGGCGGCGGCGGCGGCGGGCTGCGCGGGGGACCGGAGCCGAGCCGGGGCTGGCGGGCAGAGAGGGCCGCGGGGCGGGAACGGGCACCGGGGGCCGGGGGCGGGCGGGCGGGCGGGGGTGTGGGGGACGCTGCTATTTTTAATCCAATGGCGAATCGCCGGCCCAGCTGCAGCGTCAGGCGGGGCGCTGGGGAGCGCCAGCCGCAGCGCGCCGGGGAGGGGGCGCTGGAGAGGGGCCCTGTGCCGGGATCCGGCTGGGCGGCGGGCTGGGGACGAGCCCCCCGGCGCGGGCGCGGGAGCCGGGAGCAGGCGGGGTGCTCCGCTCGCCCCCGCCGGCAGGCTGCCGTGGGGTATCCCCACGGTGTTTTCTACCCTAGATCGATAGGTTGCGAAGGGGCAACTCCGAGGCGAACACAAAGAGCAGGATTTGGGGGTTTAAAAACCGCTTGCTTTTAAAACAACTGAAGATAAAAGCGGGGACTTCCCCTGCCTGGGTAGGGGTGGGACGCGATGTGCAAATCTGGATTGCACAGCGTCGGGCCCAAATCTGAATTTGCGCTGTGCACTTAGGTGTTAACCTCACTAAACCTTGTTCCCCACTTTTTCAACATCCAAAGCTTACTAAAAGAGAATAGAATAGGATCCAGTAAGGATGGACATAGATTTTTGCAATAATACAGATTTCTTTCTTACGTATGGTGAGCAGGATCAAGATTTTTTCGGGGCGGGGAGAAGCTTTATATTTTTCTCTTTGGAACGTATTTTGCTTGATTTGTTCGAGGTCTCCGCGTCGAACGTTGAAGAGCCTGATTTGAGCATCTTATTCAAACGCACGTATTCCTGTCTTGCAGGTCCAGTTCTTCAAAATAAACAATGAATGGGGAAGGGGGGAGTTGAATAATTTGCGAACAGAGCTTGCCTCACAGCATACTCTCATTTTCTCCAAAAAATTCTTAAAACACAGGTTCCATTCCGCTGAGGTTCCCTAACTACACCCAACGTAAAGGGCAGGGTATCCAGGGATTCCTGCCAATTAATAGAACACAATAATAGCAAAAAATAGTGAATAAAAATGTTGGTTTCTGTAAGCCTCTCCCAAACAAATCAAACTGTCTTTAAAATCTACCCCCCCCCCATTATTTCTGCTACTCTGCCTGATTCTGCAGATGTGCCGGTTTCCACTAGGAGATGGCAAGGGTACCTGGAATTTGATGTGAAGTAAGCAGAAGAGCCCCTCTCCGGCCTTGCTCTCCTTAATTTTCATACCTTCAAGCAAGGGTCAAGCACACCTCACATTGAGGTTCATGGATGATGCTTGCTTGTCCAATTACAGAGAGAACCTTTATTCAAAGTCATTCAAAACCTACAGTTTAAAATACTTCTAGATTAAATGCAATTTAAATTGAGACACTGTTTTTTCACCCTTCAGACTGACTAAGATATGTTGAGTTGGCCTATGTGGGGGAAATAGGCCCTCCTATACATTGTTGGTGGGAATAAAAACAGTAAACAATAACAATATCGACCTTAATTTTATATGCATATGCTGTTTCCCCAGCAATTCTTCATCTAGACATTTATGCTACAGGTAACTTCACACTGTGTAAGGATACTTGTTAGAGCATTGTTTATAGTAACAAGAAACTGGAAACAGCCTAAAGATGCCTGTGTAGGAAGTGGTTAAAATACAGCACTGTTGAGAAGAAGCGCTCGGTGTGTGCTGATGTGGAGCAATTTCCAAGTCATATTACTAGATGAAAAAAGCAAAGTGCAAATCAGTGTGCAAAAGCAAGAAATGCACGCAAGGCACTCTGGTACACCCAGAACGCCACCGGCTTTCCGTCTAGTTGGTTGTACCTATGGCAAATATTTTATATATTTATGTATATATATACACACACACAGGGGCTACATTCTATATATACTGTGTGTGTGTGTGTATTTGTTTGGCCTTAAGATTATCTCTAGAAGACTACATAAGAAGCTAAGGACAGTCAGGCTCTGTGGGGAGGAACACAAAGCCTGAGAGTGGAGAGGAACCTACTGCCAGTCTTTACCTTTCTGTACTATTTACATTTTTATTATGTGCAAGTATTGCTTTAAAAAATAATTAAAACTCAATTATACAAACACTCTTAAGTTCAATAACCAGTTAACATTTTCGTAGTATATTAACCTCACATACTTACAATGCTTATACAATATTATTGCAACTGGGTAAAAATCAACACACATTTTGACAAGACTGGAAAGACATAAAATTTAAATAGTTATGTTTAGAATTTGGTTATAAGGTTTTGTTTCTATTTTCAAAATGTTTTCAAAGACATTACGTTTGTTTTATAACATAAACATTTATTTTTTTAAGATTTTTTTAAATTTATTTATTCATTTGAGAGAGAGAGAGAGCATAAGCTGGGGAGAGAGGCAGAGGGAGAGAGAGAAGCAGACTTCCCACTGAGCCAGGAGCAGATGCGGGGCTCCATGTGGGACTCAATCCCAGGACCCAGAGATTATGACCTGAGCCAAAGGCAGACTCACTTAACCATCTGAGCTACCCAGGCACCTATAATATAAAAATTTATTGAGACAAAAAGTAAGAGAAATGTCAATGAATTAAGACAATGTCTTAATCATGACATTTCAGGGGAAAAAAACCTGGTTCAGTTACTGGAACTTTTTAATTTTGCAAATTCTACATATGAATTTATAACCAGACTACTTTGCTGGGAAAAGTTTCCAATTAGCAATAATGGCGCCTCAGATAAAAACCTCATTGGCTCCAACACTGCCACAGGGCAAAGTTCAACCAGACTATCTTACTAACGGACCCAGTTTCTTTGTGTAGATCTTGATCAAAGAGCCAGGAATAAAGGGAAGATGGGTAAACAATTCTCACTTCCAACATAAATCCAGTCTTACTGAAGAGATTTCAGAGGACCTAAGATTAAGAACTTTTTCCACATCAAGTATTCAGGCCACCACATCACTCTACTATTGCAAAGCCTCCTTGGATGTCGTTCGCAGTGAGTCGGCCTCCGATGGCCCAGCATTTGAGGACCTCGCCCTTTGGCACTCTTTCAGACTTCAGTCCCACACCTACTTCTGGTAAGCTCAATTATATTGTCCCCGAGAATAAACGTACTTGTCTCCTAGAATTGGTTGAAAGCTCTCCGCTCCTTTCAATCTTCTCAGTCCTTTCAAGCCTTTTCTGAGCGCTCCAACCCTCGGGGACTGATCTTAAATACAGACAGCCCCTGTTGCCTGTACCCATCACTGCATTCTGCCATATGACATCTTTTGTACGTTATTTAATTAGTCGGGGTTCCATATATTTTCCCTTTATACAGATAACACACTCTGAAAGAAGTTATTTCTCTTACTATCCTTGCACATTGTGGAATATTGCCCACCCAGAAAGGTACCACTCTGTTTATTTTAGGCACTCAATAAGTATCTACCAAGTGAATGACTCACATCTGTGACATTGTAATAGTTATGTTTTGCAGTCGGCTTTGTGTCTTTTATGTAAAATACACTGTTTCACAAATGTTGTTCCCAGAACCAACATAGGTTACATTAAAAACATGACATGAATGTTACTGTGACTAATGCCAAAAAGGGGAATTGGGGAAATCTACAAAGAAAGATATCTTAATTATTTCAATTAATGGAATAGCTCTTGACCTCAGATGTCCTCCAATAGTGTGCAGTGATCTATCTAGTAAAGCCATATATGGTGATAGCTTGTCGTGGAGGCATATCCATAAAATGTTCTATCCTGGCAGATAGTCTCTGCAGGAAGCCCTGGTTATTAAGTGTAAAACAATAGGTCACTGCTTAAGAAATGGAATGTTTTCCATTTGAGAAAATTCTATGTAACCATCAAAACTCATGTGATACAGGAATATTCATTGACATGGAAAAATGTTCACTATAATGCAGACTTCAAGGACAGGTTATAAAGGAGCACATACGCTATCCTTCTGTTTAAATACGTACACACATATATACGTAGTCATAGAGAAAAGAGATTCGATTGGAATAGGCCGTATGTTAATGGTGGTTATCTCTGAAAAAAAAATTTTGTGCTTTTCTCTGTTATTTAGATGTTTTACATTAACTATCCATTTATTTTTCTTAGTAAGGGGAGATGTTAACTTTTTACACTACCACTGATTATGTCAATTTCTTTTCCACCTGCCCTCTTTCTAACTTGTTTGTCCCCTTCACCACCCATATAAAACTAAGCAAGTTTCTGCTGTTAGGTTTATAGGCAGTCTGCATAACTAGAAGGTAGGGTCACACTGGAATGAGCAAACTCCTTGAAAAACTCTCAACGTCAAGATGAGGTAAGCTCTTACTCAGTTTGAGAGGAAATCTGAGATCCCTGTTCACCTTTTGAGTTCTGTGATGTGTAATACTCACCATAGTTCTTCCAGAAGCCTGACTCATAAGTTACTCATAGAGATAGGTAGGCATACTGCCTTTCAGGCCAATCTGACACAATCCCTACTCATGCCCACTTGCCATTTCCATGTGCACACAAGAAGACGTGTCCTCCATTCAGGTGTAGAAAAGCCTGTTGTAAATATGGTTAAAAAAAATTATATATATACACACAATATATATATATACACAGAGACACACACATGCACACCATGGGGCCACAGGCCGCTTTTCAGGTTTCCTAGTAAAGCAGGTTACCTAAATATGATACATACTGGCTCCAAACTCCAAAGAAACTCATCAAACATTGTGCCTCATTCTTTTTTTTGTTTAATTATTTATTTATTTGAGAGAGAGAGAGCACAAGAAGCGGGAGGCACAGAGGGAGAGGGAGAAGCAGATTCCCTGCTGAGCAGGACTCCGTCCCAAGACCCTGGGATCATGACCTGAGCCGAAGGCAGACGCTTAACCAACTGAGCCACCCAGGCACCCCATGCCTCATTCTTAGAGATAGGGAGCTCAAGATGAAGAACTTGACCTTCATTCTTCTATATTATTAAATTCCTCTCTGGAGTTTCACTGGGACAGCAACCCCCTATATTTCTCAGAATATATCTCCTATCCTCTGTCACAGGACATCTGCCTCTTCCTGCTC